TAAGCTGTTATATAAAATACTAGTAGGACAATATACAAATTGGTAAATTAGAAAATTAAAAAAAATTAGAAAATAAAACAATTCGAAACCAAATTCGTTTAACATAATACCATATCGTTCATCGAATATTATTATCAGTGCCCCCCCCCCAGTAATGATGTCGACAACAGAGGGCGTAATTCTTCTTGGATTCGTCTATTATAAGCGCACGACTTTTTATTTATTTTTTTTCTCGAAGGATTTACTCACACCATTGGGCCTCATGTAAATAAGGGTTTGCATACAATATGAAAATGTATTTAACTTGCGGTCAATAGGCCTACCACAAAAAAAAAATAATACAAAGCACTGAATTATAAATATCGCCGGGAAAATACCGTACCAAAGTTACGTTATATATATCGTCACACGAGTCATTGCGAATCTAGATGCCCTATTAATATCCTGAAAGTAACTTGTGTAGGTAGCTCCCATTATAAGCAGATACAATCATATTTCTATTAATAGTAGGAATCTACTACTAATGCTATTTTGAAATTTGGATCGCGACAAAGATTGATAGTTTAGCATCAGTAGGCCTATTTGTACTTACCATATCAAGTGTGACTCGACCTCTACTAGAGAAAGGGCCAGCCTTGTATTATAAAGGTCTACAATTTATTCAGGTACGACATATCTACCAAGGAACTTCACCAAAGTCCTCAGTCTTGTTTACACAACACTTTTTGCGAGCCATTTGGTCATTTCAGTATGGATAGTCCTCTTCGGCCTACTTTATATAAGCACGTACTTACATTGGCGTTCATTGGATCTTACTTAATTGACTTTCATACCAGTAGTGCACAGGAGTGCTCACCTATAACGTGCAATGAACCTGGACGTGGAAACATAAACTGTACAAAATGTGTTCACGAAATAGACTGCATTAACAAGGATCTAAGTAAGATACCAAACTGTAACGGTGCAGGTATTGAATCTTTGGATTTAAGGAAGAATCAGATCCAAGATTTTGAGGATGATCTAAATCACTACAGTGAACTTAAAAAACTATGTCTCGAGGATAATAAAATGACCGAAATTGAACCAGAAACATTCGGTAGCTTGGGCTCCTTGAAAGAACTGCTGTTGCACCGTAATCTCATTGATGTCTCTTATACACATCTAGATGTGTATATGAGTCTATTCATGAAGAATCATTCAAAGAGGGACTAAGAGGGATAGAAATCATAAATTTAGCATCAAATAAACTGAAATCGTTTGACGTTTCAACTTTCCAAAATCTAAGCAGTCTCAAGAAGCTGTACCTTGGTAACAACTCGTTGTTGACTATACCAAATGAAGCATTCGCCGGCAC